TTCCCAGATGTCGAAAACCGCAGTCGTGAGATTCTAGTGGAGTTCGCTTTGACTCGAGCTAGTCCCAACAGGCCCTTTTCCGTAAATTAAAACATTAATATGGGGGCCCTTCGAGTTTCGGTCGTTGCTTACTGCAGTTCTTTGTACCTTACGCAGAATTATATCAAACATCTGCGCTTTTGTACTACCAGGCAATTGCAATCTTAATTCATAATTTGTGTTCGTGGATTTTGAGGCATGTGTGTTTTTATAGCTTGTTGTTCGTATGCCTTGTCATTGCAACACCAAGCATCGTACTATGTTGTTCTTTTCGACCACTACTGTTACTTGCATATTGGAAGCGATAGCGACCAGAAGCATATGAAAGCTTTTTGGCAGGCTTCTCATGCTGATGACTAAAGTATTATCAGGATGTCCCAATGCAGCCTCTTTCAAAAATTCAGAAACGGATGGTCACATTGTTTTATTTTTTAGTTTCTCCTATGTCATTGCTTTGAAGTAAACAATACAATTAAGACAAAACTAGGGAGCATGACCACGCCATCAGTTTTAAGTGCATCCTCCGCTTCGATCATTGGGCGACCTTCTAGAGTGGTTTACGGGATTTTTGGTGGTATTGGGTTGAAAAGGGACACAAAGTTAGAAACTAGGACACATTTGCGAAGAGAGCCATTTATCATAGGTCTGAGCCGAGTATTTGCCACTGATCTGACGATGATATTAAAAACGGCATACTGATAAAACGATACTTCTTCGTTTATATTTCTAATTCCGTCCCGCTGTGCTCTCTAGAAAGCTCTGATGTTTGTCGATTCGGACTGAGACCACGGCGAATCACACGAAGAAGAGGCAGAAAACCTATAGTACAATAGACGATAAAGCGCCCCGTGCCGAGTTGTTTCCACAGTATTCAGTTCAGCAATTCAATTTTTCAAAACAGCTTTCGAAAAGCCTGAAAAACCATTTGGAATTGCACATTCGGAGACCAGAGTCAACGCAAAATATGGTTCTGAACTAGATTATTTCAAACTCTTCAGTCCGATAACGCGCGTACAGTGAATATCCGCGAGTAATAAAGATTAATTTGGTGTTGACTATTTGTGCCTTTACATCTGTTGAGCTAGATGTTCTTCTATTGTATCTAGGCCATTTGGGTGAAATCTGGGCAAGTATTCAAGAGAAGGGCTTTTGCGTAGTGGCTGCTCAAGTGTTCCGGCTTTCAAAAGTGGATGCTGGTGAATTTCTTGAGGTTTACAAAGGTGTCATTGCCGAGTACCCGGAAGTTGTCGAGGAATTAACCTCTGGTCCCTGTGTCGCCATGCAAATTGCAGGCTCCTATAAGGCCGAAGCTTTCGATCCTAATCGGGGACCCGATGATCCCCAATCCGTCCAACATCGATTTCGCGAATTTGCAGGCCCTATGGACCCGGTGAGTTTTATATTTGATTTTTTCATTAAGATATTTTGCGGCATTTTAAGACATTTTACTTGCTTTGCCCGATTAATTTTTGAAATACCAAAAATTATATTTTGCGTAGACCAATGTTGGAAGCTGTTACCAAGCCTACTGTCTACGAGCTGTATGCTGCTCTGCATAAGCATTGAGTATCTGTAGA